TATGACGTCATTGGCAGGCGACGCAATGACACTATGGACACGGTCCGTTACACTAGTTAAAATAGCTTATTTCTCCGGATTTAAACATTATTCAAAACATTTGGTATAATGGAAGTACAAAAGTCAGCAAAATATATAACACTGTTCTAGTGGTTTTGGGATATTTTAATCAAAAAATCTTACATTTTGTGCCTTTAAGTAAAGCCATGTTGTAGAGAGAATTAGCAATAGCAAGCAGCAGTAGCCAGCACGGCTCACCTGCTGAACACATTGTGCTGCGTCCTGGTTGGGAAATGTGTCATTTCAAGCCCAGTCTAAAGGAGTTTTGTTTGTTTGTTTTTGCACATTGCTAATGTTTTTTGCAAAGATGGTACATGTATGTATGGCCTATGTTTGGATTGATGCTAAGAGTTTAAGACAGTGTATTTGTATGCATTTTAGAAGGAATAACCCTGATAAAACAAACATGTCTGTAATTATCAAGTGCTCTTTTAGATCCTAATTAGTTGGTTCAGGTGTGTTTGATCAGGACCAGGGTTGGGCACCCCTGTTGTAGATTAACCCTGTGTTCCATTCGGAAGGGCTCATCCCTATGCCCTAATCCCTTCAAAGGGTTTACCCTCCGAAGTGAGAGCTTCGAAGGGTTGAAGGGTGTAGGGGACCAAACAACCGTTTCTTGAAGTGCCCTTCTGCGTCATCATCACGTGCCCACACGGAGGCGCCGTCATCATGCAAAGAATCTGCGCAAAGGATCATGGCAGCCCGAAGTGTCCATCAGTTGTACCCTTCGAAATCCTTCATTCTGAAGGACCCTTTGAAGTGGCCAGTTTTGAGCACTTCGGTTTGGAACGATCCTTCAATATGGCTGCCATGATTGTTTTCACTCCGAAGTGCCCTTCGGAGGGCGATATATCCCGTTTGGAACGCACTGCACTAGTGTGGGCTGTGTGAGGGCTGCCCGTGCAGGGCCAGCACTAAGGGGCCAACGTTTTGCCAATGAGCAAAATCTCAGAGGCCCTGCGCTGGCAGCCCGCTGGGGGCCCTTAGGCTAGCCCTAAGTGGGCCCATAAAGGGCCAGTGCAGGCTTGTTTCCAAGGATTGCTTCTGACGTATAAAGACCTGTTGTGCTTAATTAAATTATTGTTTATGTGATTGTTTGGTTGGTTAGTTTTATTTGTTTGTTTGTTTGTTTGTATTGTCCAACAAATTGGAGATGTAGTGTTTTTGTGAACCAGTTTTTACCAGTTTGAAAAAAAAATTACATATATTGTTTTATTTTGTTTTGTTCTTTTAATTTATTATTTTATTTATTTATTTTTTATTTTACAGTTGTTCTGTGTTTTATATAATATTTTACTCTATAACTACACAATGCAGCATTTGTTTTTGTTTATGAAACTGTGTTTTACACACCTGTCTCTGCAAACGTTTGCTAAACAGATTTTATTTTTCATGTAATGTTGGAACTGAGTGCTGCCGCGTTCATGTGATAATGTGAAAACGTTTGAGTTGTATTTCTGCAGAGTTTAATAAATAAATAAATCATTAAAAAAAAGTTGAATAGAGCTCTGCATTAGTTTATTATAATAATTTGCATTGTGTTGTCATTGTTTGTATTCCTCTCAGGTGTGACCACTGTACTGACTATGACCACTTTGAGTATCAGCGCCCGTAACTCCCTGCCAAAAGTCGCCTACGCCACAGCCATGGACTGGTTCATCGCAGTGTGTTACGCCTTTGTCTTCTCTGCCCTGATTGAGTTCGCCACCGTCAACTACTTCACCAAGCGGGGCTGGGCTTGGGATGGCAAGAGTGTGGTCAATGACAAGGTAATGATCATTAATCATGTCCCAGCATGCTTTGTGTTGTTTGGGTGGGGTGGCGTATGGATCGGATTGATTGATGTGGCGACAGTGTAGTAAATTTTTGAGTGATGTGATGTCACAGGTGAAAGTGAAGTGAAGTGTGACTGATGGTAATTCAAGAACACATCATGTTGATGTGGATTTGGCTTGTCCAATAAAAAAAATGTATAAATAAATAAAAATAAAAAATAAGATCACCTGAATATCTCAGTTGTTCCTTCTAGACAGCAACGTGATTATCCCTATAAAGCCTACAGTATCTAGTACATGCCTTCTATCGTCTTATTGATAGTTTATACTTTTTTTAGCAAGTAAAAGACCTTTTTGTATAATTGTAAATCTGTCCACATTCAGCTCGTGGTTCACATGTTTTTTTGCTGTGAAATCTTTACTGAATTTTATAAAGTAAATGTTAGAATAGCTTTGATATTGTTAGCGATATTTTACGATATACTATATTTTAATATATATTTTTTATATAATACATATTTTTTTGAAAAATCACATTAAAATGTCAGTGTCAAATATGATCGTCAGAGGGACGTTTATTTGTTCATCTCTCAATAATCATTGTATTATATGTTTTGCCCCCACAATAAAACTACAAAGCTTTGATCATAAAACTATGCATTACATGTAAGACATATTATTGGCACATATAGTGACAACTAATATTTTTATATTATTTTTATCTAAGTAGTCTGGTATACTCTTATAAATAATCTCACCGATTTACATTACAAGCTGTCAGAATTTCATCTTACTTTTTGGCCATATAAATATCAGCAACAAATTGCATATTTTACTCAGTTTGGGCTGTTTTTAAATAAAACTTTTTTTTCTTTCTTTTTTTTTTTTATAAAATATTTTTTTTCTCCTCAAATGAGCTCCATATTCACATATATCATACTGAGCCATAAAAGCCTGATGTATCAAATATGATACTCAACAAAAAAACACATATGCACATGTATTTTTTTTTTCTTTTTTTAGATTTTGTCAAAATATTCAATAAATGGTTTAAAAAAAAGTTGTTTTCTTCTGACAATTGTTTAATATGTCAGGCTTTACGGTGTTAAACAGAGACTTTTACTGAATTGCCTGGTTTCCAGATGTTTCTCCTGAGAAACAGGCCATAATAATCTCACATGTATGAGATCTCGATATGAATTCAATATCAAATATTTCTTGTCAAATTCATATATTTGACAATAGTCTATTTTAAGTTTTTTAGGAGAAACATCTGAGACCAAGTTGATACCTAAACGAATGTGTATATAAATCATCCATTATTTTATTTTTATATTTTATGTTTTATTATTGCATTTCCAATATCTTTCTCCATTTGATTAGGGCACCAAGCAATTTGTGTCTCATTACGCTTTACCTTTTTAAAATAGATGGGGGTTGATTTTACATGCTGAACAACAGCACTTCATTGTGTCTTTTTCTGTAAAGTAATTTCTTCTCCAGCAGTTCCCTGATATCCTGACTGTAAAGCCATGCTGATAGAATCATCCGCCATCTATGATACATGCTGCTCGCTGTATTTCTGCTGCAGGTCAGGATGAGATAACCACACATTATTCCATTATGATCTTATCATGGAGCACTTCAGATTTTCACTCATATCTTGTTCATTTGTGCCAGAGTCAGGGCCAGATTACACAGAGGGTTCATCTTGATCTTATTAGAACAGATTCATTAGCAATTATTCATGCAAACAATCTGAACTGATTGATTACAGAAGAAAACTGATTTTTTTTTATAGTTTGTAAAGAAAATGTGAGTGGTGATTTAATGTGTAAAACTCACTGCCACTATGCCATGTTGCTGTGGAAGGTTGCTAAAGCATTCCTATGCAGTTGCTAATGAGTTCTACAGTAGGTGTTGCTATGGGTTGCTAATGAGTTCTAGGTGTTGCTAGGACGTTGCAATGTGATTACTAACATGTTCTAACTGTTGCTATAGGGTTGTTAACAAGTTGTAGGTGTTGCTATGGCATTGCTATGTGGTTACTAACATGTTAGCAACCTGTTGCTATAGCTTGCTAATGAGTTCTTGGTGTTGCTAGAGCATTGCTATGTGGCTGATAACATGTTGTAGGTGTTGCTGTGGATTGCTAATGAGTTCTAAGTGTTGCTAGAGCGTTGCTATGTAGTTGCTGATATGTTCTAGGGATTACAATGGATTGCTAATGAGTTCTAGGTGTTGCTAGGGCATTTCTGTGTGGTTGCTGACATGTTTTAGTTGTTGCTTGGGTGTTTGCTAGATGGTTGCTTACTGTTGAGGTCAAAAATCAGCTATGATTTTATGGTCTAGATATATGGTTCATGGTGCAGATATGGTGGGAAATATCATGTTTGAAATTCATGTTCATGTACAAACAGTGTGGGAAAAGTTACACCCCAAAGTTTAATAGTTAGTCTTAGAGATGTTTAAAAACTCATTTATAAACCGATAATGAGAGAAAGATGATCCAAGACCAGCATATACCTGACATTTATTTGCAGACAAGATTTATGACAGCACTGTCAGTTAAAATTAAGCCCAAGCAAAACTGCATTATATGCTATTTTCAAGTCAAATTATTTTAATGACTATTTGATTTTAGTGATTGAAAGAATTATTGTAATCCAGTGAGGTCAACCCTGAAATTTACTGTCAATCTGTCTTTCTGACAGACTTATCGTCATCACATCCACATAATCCAATCTGGAGTCTTATTTTCATTATCTGAGATTGATTAATTTCGGTTTCAGAGGGTCTCTTCCTTGCCCTAGTCAGACTCTGTAGCACAAGATCATTGCATATTCATGAGCCTTCAAATTTCCACAAATCACATTCTTCCCACTAAAGGTCAGTCAGCCAATCTGAAATGACAGCCTGTAGAATTTGCATGTTTATGCAGATTTTGGCACTGTCTTCCTCCATCAGTCACAGGAACTAGATGTCCATTTCTTGGTCCAAGTTTTTGGTGTCTAAATCTGATGCACCTGAAATAGATCTAATCAGTCTATCATTACCTGTCATGATAATGTCCAAGTCATGCTTTCACACCAAAAGAAAGAAACACAAAAAATTTTAATTTCTCATTGACATAATTTAGTCTCATTTAGCATAATTTTGGCATAAATGTTGCATAATTGTGATTAAAGTATCACAATACAGTGTGTGTGTGTGTGTGTGTGTGTGTGTGTGTGTGTGTGCAGAAGCGTACCTGAAGTGGGGGCCCCAGGCAAAATGAATCAGTGAGGCCCTTCAAAAAGATTTTTTTTGTTTGTTAATGTATCTTTGTTACCTAGTGATATGATTATACAACATATGAAATGTGGACAAAACACATCTAGTATATAATACACAAAACAGGACGCTCGCTCTCTCTCTCTCACTCGGATGTGCACGCTCAAACCTGTGCACTCAAATCTATAAAACTGTCTTCTCTCCTGAAATTAATGTTGCCAGAAGCCCATCAACCACCAGACTTCCATGACTGACTGATGAAATAACAGAGTACCTTTCAATTGTAAAAAAAAAAAAATACGGATCCATCTTTGTTAGCATTTTCAAGCTGATTTTGGTCAGTGAATTCTCGCTATTTATTTTATTATTTAGCCTAATAGTAATTTGAATTAAGTGCCTATTCTAAATAGGTATTTATTGAATTGTTTTATGTATATCAGCAAGTGAACGAGTTGCGGCGAAGCTCATGAAAAGAATGTTTTGTTTAGTTGTGTATTTGTAGTCTGTGCATTTCTCTTCGCGAGACACGAATAATATCTTTTGTGTGGCCTAATGAATTCAAACACAATATCGAAGGGAGAAAAAAATATTTATCATTTTTAATTAATTAGGCTGTAAAAATGGGGAATGTTAAAATATTTAAGGCACAGTTGTTGCATGACAACCTAGCC